TTTTTTTTATAAAAATCAATATGACATTTAATAAAATTATCATATATCAAAAAATTAATAATAATAAAAGAGCTGTTACTCTTCATTGTCTAAACACCATACAAGTACGGAAATGATTTTCCTGCATTTTTATTAATGGAAAAAAAAAAAATTGAAGGCACAAGAAAATAACTAACAGTAACGGCCGCCGCCTCTCACTTTATTGCTGTTAACGGTATTAAGATTTTTTTTTTCTTTTGGTTTCCATCCAGTATTTGAGATTTCGTACTGACCCGAGTCACGTATATGAAAATAGTGGATGAATTTCTCAACAAAAGTTACTGCATATACAAGATTTCGAATTTAAAGTTTTGCTTAAACTAAAATAAGTCACTTATCAATTGATTCAACCCACTCGTTAATAACCCTCTCGTTAATAACGGCATTAAGATTACTACCCTACTATCCAATGGTAGCCTGCCACGACGTACAATTGAGTTTTAAGTTTTGTATTGGTTTGACGTGGCAAGGAATCAATGGAAAGACGCGCACAGGATCGCAACCAATAAAATATAAATTCGGTACCATAGATTTTGACAGACGCGCTGAAAAATTAAAAGAAAAACAAAAGTTAAAAAAATATAAGAAAGGAAATTAATTTCCAAACAAAAGAACAACGCAAGCCTCTCTTTTTCTCTCATTTTTTTTCCTTTTTAATCGAAGCACCGACACGGTGGCTAGAAAAGAAGCGTGAAGAAGTTGATTCGATTCTCAGTGCTCCGACTGATCTCTACTCCATGGCTTCTTGATCAGGTATTTCTCTCCATCTCTGAATCTCCTGTCATCGTCGTCGTTGGTTAACTCGATCTGAATTAATTTCTTGAGGATTTTTTCCTGGATTTTTTCGTGTTCTGTTTGGTTAGTTGGAAAATCGAGGAAAATAATACTGAAAACTAGAGAAAATTGCTTTCGGTTTTTTTATGTTAAAATCGTGAAATACGTCGCCGGAATTTAGTGGCATTGACTTTGAATCTCATCTTTCATTTTTTTTTTTTCTGAATTGATCAGTTATTTTGATCGGATTATTTTTTCTTCCAAATTTCTGTTGGAATGGAATAGAATATATGAGAATATTTGAGATCCTATTGTTTTGCGTTGTGTATGTTGTGATTCTGGAGGTTGAGAATTAAGATTTTGCATTTTTTTTTCAAAGGAAAATTGGTTGAGGGAGCTATTGACTGGAGGCGCTTGATCAGATCATATGAAGTGCTTACTCAGTGGGATTGGTTCTCAGGCAGTTGATCTAGATGTACTGTTTCTGCATGTTTCTACACCGAACACACTTTTTCGAAGATTCTTAGAGGTAAGTGTAATGAAATTGAAACTAAATTAGGATGAATGCTGAACTTTCTGTTTGGTTGCGGTTAAAATTTCAACAAAATAAATGAGAATATCTGCATTTTCTGCTTTTTTTTGCTGCTACTATTGAATATATTACATGGAAAAAAGATTGTCCATTAGTAATGGTTGATGTTACAATATAACATATGAAGAGCCTAGTTTACAAGATTTGTGGGGTTCAAGTTAGACATGGGGATTCTTTTGCAGGTTAATATCAGGAGCCTGAATTCTCATACTCAAACTATTAAGTTGTTGCTGTTTGGATCCACAAGCTGGGAAACAGAGAAGAAATATTTCTATGGCGGAGAGGGAGGACAGTATTGAGCTTAAGTTTCGCATTTATGATGGAACAGATATAGGCCATGGTACTTATCCATCATCTATGACCGTTTCCAATCTTAAGCAAAAGCTGGTTGCTGAGTGGCCTCAAGGTTATCCAACTTACCCTATGCTGAATTCTTTGTTATAATGAAAATTCTATGTCTTAGTTCACTGTGGTTATTATCATCCATTAGGCGCTGAATTTTGATTTTTAGTATAGATTGAAGATCACATCATTTATTTAACATTTATACCTTCTTGTCTTTGCTATGATTTTTCTTTTCTTGTTCTAATTCATATTGACCTTTTAATTGTCTATGTGATAATTACCCTGTCATAGGTTTGTTGTTCTTCCGGTTGGGCGTTTTGTTCTATGATCATAGCTTCACATTTTATGCTCATTAAATTGCAATGGTGCTGTGAAGTGTTGGCTAAGTAAATTTTCAATTCTTTTTGCCTTGGTGGTTGGTAAAACTGTTAGCAACTTTTATGGGATTGACTCAAGTTGACTTGAATGAAATTGGCATTGTGAAAGTGCTTGGTAGACAATTATTATTGACTCATTTATTACTTCAATAGTAATTTTAGTGTTGGCTCAAGGTCGTTTGAATGATGTTGGTGTGGTGAATATGTTTCTGTAGGCAAAACAAAAATAGCCTAAAATTTTCAATTGGATTCTTTATTGTTTATTTCTCTTGGTTGAATAAAGAACTAGTTTGAGATTAAAGTTAGGTAAGTTAAACAGTTGGCTTGGAATAATTTTCTGTTTCCTTAGCAGTATCATAAATGTTTTGACTCTGCTTGGGAGTTTGGAACTTTGGAGAGAGGGGAGATTTATACATTCTCTGGTTATTTTTTTTACATTCATCACATTTCTTTTAGAGTCTGGCTTTTTAATAATCATGTCCTCTTAATGAATCCACATATGGGAAAGATTCATTTAGGGTATATGGCTACTTTCACAGCTCAGACTGTGCTTTTTTCGTGCAGTCTTTTATTTGTTCATACTCTTTGCTGTACTGCAGAGTTCAGGAGTCTTGTTCTGACCTCTGCTTATGTTTTATCTTTTGACCATCTTTATATTTAGAAGATTTAGTCTTACGTTTGTAAGATTTATTGAAGAGTTACCATTACGTTAGAAGATTCATTTCATAGCTGCATAGCAGTCCATGCATTTGTGGTCAATGCATAGTAATATTCTCCATTTTTGAGCTGATGGATTCTTTTGTGTTACAGACAAATCAGTCATTCCAAAGTCAGTAAATGAATTGAAACTTATACATGCTGGTAAAATTTTGGAAAATAACAAGACACTTGCTGATTCAAAAATAACATCTGGTGACCTTCCTGGCGGTGCTATGACCATGCATGTTCTTGTACAGCCTGCTATAGTAAAAAAGAAGACAGGTTCGTTATAACTATAACCTCTTTGTTTATCTGTTTGGTAGATTTTATTTTAAAATTAATGCTTTCTCCATTGGAATATTAGTTTGGTTAGGAGGGATCTGTACATTCTCATTCAATTGATAAATTGCTCCAATAGAAAGAACAGGTTATTGTTAGGAAGTTCAATTTAAAACACAGCATCAAAGAAGACAAGAACGGATATCTTCCTGGTTTGGTTTAGCTTGCGTTTCAAGAGATTGTATATTGTCAAAGATTGCTCAAAAGAATTGATCAACTGTGGATAGCCCATTTACTATTTAATCTCCCAAAATTTCCATGTGTTATTTGGTACTTAAGCATTGAGTCGCTGGCTCCTAGAACCTTGACAAATAGCTTAGAAGTTTTTGAGTCCTGGTTGTTTAATTAGGTTCTTCACCAATGTAGCTTATAGTTGGTTGAATGAGATTATAGCTATATTGTCCCTGTTCTTATCATAGACCATGCACTTCCAAGTCAGTATTATTCAATGTAAATTCTGCTTTTTAAATTAGTTGAGGTAATCACTCTGTGTGCCTTTAGAGAGTGGACAGGACCACCAGTGGGAGGATCGGTGCTCTAGGTTAAATGTCTTTTCCTCAAGCATGAGTTACAGGAACAAATCTTCATCCCCTCCTTTTCTGTGCTCTGAATGATTTTGCCCTTTTGGCCTTTATTTTATGTTACTTGTGATGTGCATTTATGTTTCAGTTCCTTTGAGTTTACATAAGCTGTTATTAGATGATCTAACATTCCTCAATTTTCTTCTTTTCCACAATTTTTGGGCTCTGCAGAAAAAAATGAAGAGGAGATGAAGAAACTAAACTCATGTGGCTGTGTAATCCTTTAGATAAGGAAACATTGCTTGAAGTCAATAGCAGTTTTCTCACAGTTCATACCTTATGGCGAGATTTCACACTTGAAATGGCGTTCCTTTATAAATGGGTGACCTTGTTATTGTAGGCATCCTCATAGAAGCAGATTGCCTAAAAGGACAACTCATTTTCTTCCTCATTTGAAATGGCCCTCACTTGTACACAGAGGGCATTGTTACTGTAAACATCCTCTTCACCATTTTGTTTAAGATAATAGAAGTTGTGCAGATGCATTTATGAACCTGTGTGGGAGCTAGGAATGAATTTTTAGTACCGACTGTCATGATATAATTTCCATTGTTTGCTTTTGAGTCAAACAGAACTGTACTGGAGATGCCTCTATTACTGAGATGATCAAAAGATGGTTAAATGAGAACCTGAAATGAGTTTCTCCGGGATGTATGGTATGCGATTTATTAGTCTCATGTTTCAATAATTTGAGCTGCTTAAAGCAGTTTTTTTAATTTTTTTTTTTTTTAGCATAATAGAAGGAATTTTCTTTTATTTCTTAACTCACTTACTGTGTCTTGTAATTCAAATCCAAAACTTCTGCCACCGAAAGGAGTAAAAGGGTAAATTTCAAGGCGGATCAAAAAGCGTTGTGTCTGGAGCAAACTTGTACATTCTGCTAGCAGCTACCGAGTAACAACCTCCCTTCCTCCGGCCATGGCAGAAGTGCTAAGCTCAAACAAATTTCAAATTCAAAACTTTTTCCACCGAAGGGAGTAAATGAAATGGCAATCTTAAGGCGGATCAAAAAACGTTGTGGCTGGGGCCAGAAAGTGCCACTCATTTATCATTCTTTGCATCAGAGAGAGGCAATATATATATATATATATGTATGTGTATCCCTCTACTTTTATTTATTGACTATTGAAATAAAACTTTGAAATTTTTTAAAAATAAAATTTTTATATTTTTAAATTGAATAAAATTAATTTTTATATATTTTATTTGAAATAAATTAGTTGAAATTTAACAGTAACTCAATTATATATCATTAAATTATATATCATTATTTTAAAATAAATTAGTTGAAATTTAACAGTAACTCAATTATATATCATTAAATTATATATCATTATTTTAAAATAAATTAGTTGAAATTTAACACTAACTCAATCATATGTCATCATTTTATCTTTTTTTATTTAATACTCATTAAGCTCATATCATTGCCTTAAAAAAAAAAATTAAGCTCAGATAATGTTGGGTTTTTTTTTATATGATATTTTCTTTATTAATATCCAAATGAAATATCAATGACCTGTTGGTCTGAGTGGAAAGTGGCTGCACCTAAAAATAAATTAATAGGGTAAGGTCAAGTTGAAACCCAATTATCAAGAAAAGTTAGTAATCTGGATTTGGATTGGGCTGGATTATAGTTTAAGGGCCAAGATGAAATTTTAAAGAAACTGGATTTCAGGTGGCAGAAGATAAAATAATTTCTGGTGTTTGAAGTTGATTTAAAGTAGGAAGTTGAGGTTTTTTAGGAGAAGGATTATTAGGGTTTTATTGAAGACAAGGTTGAATCGAAAACTGTCAACTGCTAGACATCTGGCAGACATGGAACCCCCACTACTCGATCATGGTGGGAGAGGGTCGAGAAACATGGAGGAGGTTTCTCAGCACCGAAGAAAAGAAAAACAAGAGGAAAAAATGAGTTCCAGATGGCTTGCCCCTATACACACTGCTCAAAGCATATGTTTTTCAACTTTCAGACTGTTTTTTCCAGATTTCAGCAATAGTTTTCAGATTAGTTTGCAAGATCTGTTCTTGATCATAGCCTTAGTTTAGGTTTTTTCCATCTTTGTTCATATCTTTCCTCAAATATTTCAATTTAGGTTAGTTTTTAAGCATTTGGAAGCAATTCAGCATGTAAAACAGGTATGCCCTGTTGATTTGGTTAGTTCTTCTTTCTCTTATGGATTCATCTATGTTATTTGTTTATGTAAATAGGTTACACGCTTTCTGCCTTTGTTCTTTTGTTTCTGTATAATAGCCAGACATACAGTTTACTTAATTTCAATTTCCAGATTTAATTTTATAAGTTTTCAGACTTTAATTATTTCCTAGATTCTCCTTCAATTTTAGTTATCCAAGTAGATTAGCTATTTTTATTTTAAATCTGCAAGTAATTAGTTTAATTGTTATGGATTGCATAGTGGAAATCGTTGTCTGTGATTTTACATTTTCTGTTGTCTACGAGTTTTATTTTTGTGGCATGTTGTTCTCTTTTGCTGATTTCATGTTAGATTAATTGCTTTAGGATTTTGTGTTAATTTTAGGATTTGTAGCTTTTATTACACTTTTGTAGTTGTGAAATCCTTGGAGGTTTCCAAGGCAATTAGTAACTCATTCTGTAGAACTCTACCCTATGTTTTGCAACAACATCTGAGAGCATAGTTTATTTCATAGACGTTCTTTCTAGCTATTCTTTTAGAGGTCAACCGTTGAAAAGGAGAAGGGTCATCTAGAAAATCCTATTTTCTTGTTTTAAACAAAGCAAGTGGCACGCCTAATACCTAAACTCACGTGGTCAAGGCCAGCTATGGATTTTTTGGGGAAACAAAAAGAATTCGATTTCCTTTAATCAAGTTCTTGAATTCAAGTTTTATAAATGAAAAAACAGGCACTAAAAAAGCTTTCTCCCATATGGGGTTTGGTCCGGTTCAACTTTGAATTAATCAGGATCCAATATGATTTTTGAATACTGAGGGGTTAATAAAGAAAAAAAACCGAATGTAATTAGTAAACTTTTTATTAGTAACTAACTTGATAAAAAAATTGTTATGCCTTTAAAAAAATGGGCTCAGATTTGTCAAATAGTAAGGATATAATAGATACTGAATGGGAATAATGGAATGATTTTTTTTTTCCTATATTTTAAA